GCTAGACTTGGTTAAATATTAATAAGTGGCTGTTAATGGACTGGAGGTTGTGGTTGTGCTGCATTGGATCATTATTTTAATCTTATTCAAAACATGAGCTAGCTGTTGTCAGAGCTGAGTAATTTCAATACAAAAAGGGGAAAAAAGATTTTGGATTCTGCAACTGTGGGGGAATTATTTCTGCTTTTCCTCTTTTGTTAATCAGGGGTGTGATTTCAGAGACTCCTTGGCAGAAGCCATGGTCACAAAAGATTTGAGGAAGGCAGAAATGTATATTAACAGAGTTGGAAGGGACCTTAAAGGTCATGTAGTCCAACACCCCTCCCCCCTCAAGTAGGAGACCCTACACCATTTCTGACAAATGGCAGTCCAATCTCTGATGAATGGGAAACTGTTGAAGATGGCTTATTATTCTCTGTTAGGATATTATTGAAATTATGTTTTCCTCTATCTTGTCTAGTTTCATCAAGTGGAACAGTAAAAGAGATAAATAGTCAAAATGGGAAGGAGATCAACATCTTCCACTAAGAGTGGGAAGTTCATGAACCCCACTGACCAAGCTAGTAAGTGCCTTGAAATCTTTTCATGTTTGGACATGGAATAGAGAAGATATGTCATTGTTGGTTTGTAATATGTTCTATGTATTTAACACTGTTCAGACTTCACATGCATCCATATTCTTCAGTTCACCAGTAAAGAATATTGCTTATTTAGGAAAATAAAAGTATGTATGAATACATTGCATATACCTTCTAAATTTATGGGATGTAGACAAAAATACATTGCAAGGTGACCCCTAGATTGGAGAATCTAGCTGGCACAAAATAGCATAAACATGCTTGAAGTAAAGTTGAGATTTGGTTGTGCTTGAGTTGTGCTTGAGTTCACTGGAAAAAATGTGCCCAAACTGACCAGACTGTCCTTACCATTAGCAGGCATTGCTTCATATAACATGAATGCTATTAAGACTGGTAATTTAATCTACATCTTCTCTGTTATAACAAAGCCAGGATGCCCAGTGGGGATAAATACCTATTAAGCATGCTAGTGACAATTGAGCCATTTGAAGATTATGATTTGGAATATAAGAAGAAAAATAATAAATAATATGAATGAAATGAAAATGATTAATGAATTAAAGTAAATTAAATTCCACGCCTTTGAATCAAAGATGAAGAATACAGTAGAGCCAAATAAAAGTAATGCCAACTTTGGAAGGGGATTGATGCATCTATGCCGAAAATGGGTGTAGATTTAATTATGAATGAAAACTTAAATTAAATATAAGAAAGTCTGAATTGAGGTTATTTAGGTTGTACTGGGAACATGTGAAAAAAGGAATCAATCGGTGATGGTAGAATATTAGTGGAAATTGGATGGAAAAGTTTTAACGCAACCATAAAATATTCATATGAAAACGATATCGTGCAAGTTCAGAGAGTTACATTATCTGCAGCAGTCCATAAATTCTGTCCTTCAAATGGATGATGAATAGATATATGATGGATTGTTTAGTGCTGTTAAGGTGGTATCCATTCGGAATGAATATAACAAGTATAAAAGTAAATGATGAGTACAAAATACAGGCAACTTACAACCATTTCTTTAGTGACTTCAAAGTTACAGTGGATCTGAAAAAAAGTGACTTATGACCGCTTTTCACTTTTATAACCATTTTAGCATCTTCATGTGATCAAAATTTGGGTGCTTGGGAACTGATTCATATTTATGACTGTGTTCCAGGGTCATGTGATCACCTTTTGGGACTTCTGACAATGCAAAGTCAATAGGGAAGCCGAATTCACTTAACAACCATGTTGTTAACTTAACAATTGCAGACTCACTTAACAACTGTGGCAAGAAAGATCATAAATTGGGACAAAACTCACTTAACTGTCTTGCTTAGCAACAGAAATGTTGGGCTCAATTATGGTTGAAAGTCAAGGTGATATATTGAGGTGTTTTGGTCATAGAGAATGAATGAGGATCAAGTTGCAAAAAACCAAACAAAAAACCCTGTAGGAAGAGTGAATAGGTTAAGAAAAAGGAAAAGATCAAGAAAGTTGTTAGATTGAGATGACCAAAGGGAAAGGTGATAAGTTTTTAAAAAGTGTGTGTGTGATCAGAGATCAGACAGAAAAGAACAAAACATGAAGTGATAGATGGACATTTAGAAGGATAGGAAGTTTAGAGGGGCATGTTGAATGATGATGGTATACAGTATTTTTAACTGGTTTATTTGATTATGTGCCTTTCATTTCTTTGGATGACTAGTTCTCCTTTTTTGTGCTTTTGCAAAACTTATATGAAAAGGGAATTACATAATGGATATATGTGTTTATGTGAAATTAATGTCCACATAGACAACACCACGAATTCTTTAAGGGAGAGTAGAATTAATTATGGCATTAGATTTTGCAGTAGATGCTGCAGTTAGTATAAATTCAGTTTTGCAACAATACTGGACAATATCAGATAGTTTCAAAGCAGTATTAAAATACATTGTGTACTGTGATATTCTATAAAATGGTACTATGAACAAATGAAGGCATTTGCTGACTACATAGATCATTGTGAAATGGCAATATTAGAAACAAATTACCTTTTTATGCTAAAAAAGAATAGATGTATTGAATTACTTTGAAAAACAATTGTTACACAGCAAAATAATAACTTTTGTATTGAATTAAATTGTTCATGATGTAAAGCTGCACATGATCCTTTTCTTTTAATGTTCTTCAAAATAAAATAAGTTATTTTTAAAGTGTTTTATTTATTTATGATAGTAGCCACCTTTTCTATGAAATACAACATGGTATCCAGGAGGATCTTGTGTAATATAAACCCTACAAGAACATAGAGTATGTTGGAGGGAGAATAGCTGATCCAGAGTTAGCTTAATGATCGAGTGGTGACTTGAAGTGGGCCCAAGTCCAAATAATATAATATATATATTATGACTATATCCTCAACAGTTGTTCCAAATGGGTTTTTACATTTGGGAAATGGAGTCAAAGGTATTGCTGTTAATAGGTAATCACTACTAAAATAATAGAAGACTAAATTTCAGATTGTTTAAAAGTACAAGTTGACAGATTTCTGATTCCAGTCTAATTCATAATTTTATACATTCTTAATATCCAAATTTGAAATCCAGTTATGATATAAGTCTAGAACTATTCCAAAAATATTAGATATATTTATTTTATCTGGTTTTTATTTTCATATATAAAAGGTGCCCATTCATATATTATCTCCATATTTGCACTATACTTTTTACAAAATATACATTGGTGATAATTTAAATTTCTTTTTGTAGGAAAGGAGGCCCGGAAAAGAGAACTGAAGAAGGTAATAGAACTGTGCCAAATTATAAACAGAGTCTGGCAGTGCTTTGTGTTTTTCTGTTAGCTTTGTATCTGACATTAAGCGCATGTGTATTAATATAGAATTTACAAATCATATTAGCTAATCAAAGTTTTTCCTAATAAACTGTCTTGTCTGAGCAAGATTTGATACAGAGCACTGGGTTAGGATAATGGTGCTGTTAATGGTGCTATCATAAATTTTAAAAGGATACCAAAACTGCCTCATAAAACTTGGACAAAAGATAGTATATAAAATGATTATGTATATACAGTGGATATAAAAAGTCTACATGTCCCTTGATAAACGCCAGATTTTTGAGGTTTAAAAAAAGCCCGACCAAGATAAATCACTTCAGAATTTTTTCCACCTTTAATATAACATAAACTATACAATTCAATTGAAAAACAAATTGAAAACTTTTAGGAGGAAAAATAACAATAAAAATACACAATAGTATAGTTGCGTAAGGGTGCACACCTTCTTATAAATATGGATATGATAGCAATAGCAGTTAGACTTANTCTATCTATCTATCTATCTATCTATCTATCTATCTTATCTACCTACCTACCAGTGGTGGGATTCAAATAATTTACCAACCAGTTCTCTGCCTTGGTGGTCATGTGATCATGTGGGCAAGGCCAAGTCAATGTCACTTAGGTCGATGGGCACTACGTCTTAGTTGTTACAATGGTAATAAGGGTTAACTGGAGAGGCAGTTTCTGTAAGCAGGGCAATAAAGATTAGGCTAGAAACAACCCCAGAATGTTTCATTCCTGCCTTCCTTACAGGATTAACCCTGCAAAGTGGAAAAAACCAAAATGATATTTCTTCCAACAACCGGTTCTCCGAACTGCTTTCTCCTGGATAGGTGCGAACTGGCTGAATCCCACCACTGCTACCTACCTACCTACCTACCTACCTACCTACCTCGCTGTAATTTGCAAAAAGATGTAATAACATCTTTTACAAAAGGCGGCAAGTATGCCCTTTCCTCATCCTGTTTTCTCCACAACAAACTTGTGAAGTGGGTTAAACTTATAATGCTATTGTGGATGCTTATCATCTGGGCCTTTGTCTGCAGTGCCCTGTGCTGCGATTACCTGTCAGCATATTCCACATGATTGTGGATGCCCCAGATTCATTGGAGCACAGCTGGCCCTCTGCCCTCATACAGACCTCTTAAATGCCAGTGCTCTGACTCACCTGAGAGGTTTGGATGGTAGTGTCTTGGCCTCCTTGAATGTCTTATCGACAACAATCTTGTCCAGATGCCACCACCTTGCTGTTGTGGTCACAACATACCCTTCTAGTTGCCATGCTTCTAGCTGCACTGCTCTGGATATCCTAGCTACTGCTGACATTTATTTGCTATTGCCTGCAAATGCCAATGTGTTATTTATGTAGCTTATTCCTAAAAAGTGGGTAAGGAGGGTCCAAAAAGGTACAATTGGGCAGACAGTTTTTGCCACTGGCTGTGTGTCCTTGCACAAAAAGCAACTGGAATTTCTAGGGCTACAGGTTTGCTACCCCAATCTAGAGCATGAGAGTAATTTTAACTTCAGAAATTATTTTGTGCTTGGCATTTAAGACTGTTTTCTCATTTTTAAAATGTATTTTATTTATAACAGGGATTAAAATTGGTCAAGAAAAAGCAAACATCTTTATTAGAAGACAGAAGAGGGCTTACCCATATTCTGAAAGGTAATGCAGATATGTGTTAATTATTAATTCTCAATGTAACTGAGAAAAGATGAATGCAAAGATTATGAAAAGCATTGAAATGCCAGCATGTGTGATTCCATAGCTACTGGAAATAAATGAATTCTTCTTTGCTTTAACAAGGCTAATTTAAATATCATTGCGGGGAGGAGAAAGTGCTTTTAAGGTGATATCCAGTGTAACTGATGTAGTGTTTCAGAAGTCTTTATTTGGCGTGTATCGGGATAAATACATATGGACTCATTGCATACATTTTAGCAGATGGCACACAGCTGTTACAATCTCATGAAGGTGCTGAATGTATGAAATAAATAAAGGGCAAGAATATGTTTAAATGTTATGATTATCATATTTTATGGTTTTGCTTCTGTAATGGCTGGAGAAACGTATGTATATTCTGGCTTCTGGACTACTGAAACGGATCACAAAGATGCCAATAAAAAACTTATTTATTTTATTACTTACATTCAAGACTAAGGTTCTTCTCATCAGCCAACAAACCTCATGTTCCTTCCAATAGCTGTTCTAGCCACTCAAATCTAGAGTGTTATGATCCTGTATCTCCTGTAGCATTGTAACATCTTGCTTCTGCTATGGTTCTGGGAATAAATACAGTTTCTTTTGCAGCTTTAATCTGGTTGGTTTGGTTTGGTTTATTAGATTTATATGCATTTTTTGCTCTTCACTTAGCCAAGTTACCCAAGTTACAGAAACTCATGTTCTTCCTCCAATATCCATCACTTAGGCTTACCTGGGCTCCCTTATTTTTGGTGTCTCAAGGTTCTACTTTTTGGGGTAACCACTAATTTTCTGGCCACTCTGTTCCTAATCCCTACATGTCACCATTTTGTTTTAATTTAAGTAGATTTCTTTCTCCACCGTACAGTATTCAATCATTTTTTTCAGTGGCATCATAACACTGAATCAGCCTTAGAGAGTTAAGAAAAAAATAAACTGCAAATTGGTGTTATTTCTTACCAGGAAAATATATTTTTTCTGCCAAATTCCAATTTGCTGAAAGAAAATTTGCTTTAGAAATTATTTCAAAGGAGCAAATAACTTTGAAGCAATTCTCCTAGATAAGAGAGCTCTGTGTTCTTGCACTTATTTAATTCTGAAGCATTGAAGGCTGTGTGTGAATATTTTATTTTTCATTGTGCAAATCTCTCTCCAGTAATTCCAAAACCCTCAACTTTTTGCATTTCCCCAAAAGAAGACATCCAGTACATTTTTGCCCCATTTTTGAGCAGTGGCACTATGTCTACTCCCTGGTGGAGTTATTGAAGAATTTCTCTTAAATTTCTCTTCCTTGGCCATAAATTTGGTAGCTAATTTTAAAGTACTATTTTTAAATTTATTAAAACATAAATTAAACTTATTTAAACCCAACTCCAGGTATAAAAAATACCCATTAAGACTCCCATCCATCAACTTTAAAAAAAAAAAAACCAAAACCTATAACTTACTCTCAAACTGATTCCCCATCTATACTAACTTGTAGTTAAATGTTTATAAATGTGTGGCTAAAATCTACCAGAGAGGTTGTTGTAGTTTAAATGTAAAAATGATTGGCAGAAATAAAGTTAAACTCCCCTTTGTTTCTCCAGGGAATAATACTGTTTTAAAGGTGTTATTGTTTTTAAGAAACAGTTACTGAGAAAAAATTGCATATATTACATAATTTCTTTGTAAATTATTGGTGAATACAGGTATAACAAACGCAGTAATGTGTTTATTAGTAAAACCCATTTAGTGGCAGCAGATCATCTACCCACAGTGGTGGGTTTCAAAATTTTTTAGAACCTCTTCTGTAGGTGTGGCATGCTTTGTGGGAGTGGCTTGCCGGCTATGTGACGAGTGGGAGTGGCTTGCCGGCCATGTGACTGGGTGGGGGGTGACTTAGCAGTCATGTGACTGGGTGGGCATGGCCAACTTGTAAAATGTGGTGAAACTCACTTAACAANACAACTAGCATATATGTGCAAGGGGAACCTTTACCTTATTTGCATAAGGAAAAAATTAAAAACTGCTATTTTAAACAGTTAAGATTGTTTTGCTTGTATTGATCTAATAAACATTAGGTAGGGAAGAAGAAAGTGGACATAGCAATTCTTGAAGTTAACTTGTTCTTCAAATGACCATTAAGAATGGAGACAATTAAAGGAATGTAGACACTGAAGTGGGATACCACAATGAATGTAAATTCTTGCCGTTGAAAATAAATAATAATGTACTGTATATTTATTACAATTGTTATTTTCTATCTTTCTGTCAAAACACCTGAACATTTTTTTAAACATTATGATGTCTTAGAACGTCTTAGAATGACATAATTAAAAAAAGAATATGACATGGAACTTAATGTCAAGCAAGCAGCGCCAAGCACTTACGAGATGCAGTGGTAGGAAGCACTTCCAGGGAAACAAAGATGGATTTTGCTTTTAGCGGAACTGATGACTGCAGTGGAAACTGTAGCCGGTGAATGAATTGGCTCACCAAACTCTTTTCCAAATTAAGGACAGGACTTGGGATCAGACAGAATGCTCCTCACAAATACCTCCCCATCTACAGTGGATTTTAGAGTTCTGGGAGTTGGGAGAGTCAGCTTTGCCCAAGATGCAGCTCGGAACTTTTAAAAGGATGCTGGGTTGGCTCACTTCCCTCCTTGATCAATTTATGGAAAATGGGCTTGTAAATTACTTTTTGGGATAGTGAGAACCTTCAGAAGGACAAGTTTTATTACCCTGGATGGTTGTCCTTCAGCCTGCAGTGAAATAATTTTTATGTAAGTTTAAAACTTAAAACATTTTTTATTTGGAAATAAGCAGCAAAAGGATGATTAGAATGTTGATTTTGGAAAGCTTTTAAAGAGACTAAAGGGGCCAAGTTGACTGGAAGTAAGATGTTGAAATATTTCTTGTAGTTTATTTAAATTTCTATTAAAATATAAGGCGTTTTTGAATATAAGTGTAAGAAACTTCTTCTACTTTCTTCCTGGTGAAAAGTTCTGGATGAGATAAATATATGAGGAGATCTTGAATGCTGGCTATTAAAGGCAATCAGAAGGAATTAAAGATTATAATTAAAGGAGAAGAATTATTAGTACAGAATGGAAAAAATAATTTTAACTTTAAGAATTCAAGGATGTTTGGCAATGATGTACCCAGAACTTTTTCTTTAGATTGTCTGATTAAAAAAAAAAAGTTTGGGGGGGGGGCTTAAAAGAAGAGATAGGATATGACTGAAAATAAGGCTGTTTTGAATATGGATTTAAAATTGGCAATAATTGACAAGAACGATGTGAGATGAAACCAGCTGAGGTTTTATTAGTTAAAAATTAAATAATACTTATTTTTGATATTTTCAAATTTAATAACATAAATAATAAACCTAAATAAATTAATAAAATAGANGCCTGCAGTGCTGCATTTAACCACTGCGCCACCTTCTGATTGTCTTCAGAATTAACTAATCACATTCAGCCTGATGGTAAATAGTAGTAAGTATACACCTGCCATCAAGTAAAGTGACTTTGATCAAGTCCATATAAAGTTTAATTGTTCTACTAGATTTGTCTGACATTTATGCAGTTGATTTTTATAGCAAAAGGCGTAATCTGCAAAGAGATTGCAAAGCATCAAAAGGGATCTCATTATTGAAACGTATTAGTCAGGAGTAGGGTACAATCCCTCCCCCCCCCAAGGCATTGGATATACCATGGAACACAGTGAAGACAGATATCAACAAGTGGAGAAAATATGGCTTCAAAATTGATGAAAAAACAATAAGAAAAGTGATCTGAGAGGCCCCCATTAGAGCAACATTAAAGGAGTTGCAGGAATTTCTTGCAAGTATTGGTTCTGTAGTGTATGTGACAAAAATTTCCCATAGTCTTTATATGTCTGGGCTATGGGATAGGATGACAAAATGACAAGACGGAAGCCTTTTGTTATAAAGAAGGAACATCCAAGCCTGACTGAATTTTACATCAAGTCTGGGAAACTGTGTTATGGATTGATGAGATCAAGGCTGAACTCTTGGGCCATAATTTCAAAAAGTATGTTGGGTACAGAAATGACATTGCATATCACCAAAAGTACACCATGATGGTGGCAGCTTTATGCTTTGGGGGTGCTTTTTTTTTCAGCTGGAACTGGGACTTTAGACAAGATGGAGGAAATTATGAACGTTCAAAATACAGTATTTATTTGTTAAATTGCCTATCTCACTGTGGGAAAACTTTCAGGTCTCTGCTAAAATGCGGAAGAGGAATTTTATCTTTCAACACAATAATGTCCCAGTGCATACATCCAAATCAAAAGAATGGCTTCCTCCAAAGAAGTTGAAAGTTTAAGAATGGCATAGCTAGAGTGTGTTTCAGGTTTCAAGTTTATTAGGATTTGTATGCCGCCCACTCCCATAGGGACTCTGGGCGGCTCACAACAGACAAGAAACATTTAATTTTAAAAATAGAGATAAAAAATAAAAATACAGTATTAAAATTCATGTCACCCATTCCATCTAAGGGGGGCTGGATATCAATCAACAGCCCCAGGCCTGCCGGAACCGCCAGGTCTTGACGGCTTTACGGAAGACGTCAAATGCGGACCTGAATACAGTTGAAACTTTGGGAGGGGGAGTTACCCGAAGAGGACTGTGCATAGGAGATGTCCTTTCAGTTTGCAGCTTTTGCAAGGAAGAGTGGGGAAAGATTCCCAAGGCAAGATGTGCTTTGCTAATAGGCTCTTAGTCCAAAAGACAATGCTGTCATCAAATAGAAAGGTGCTTTAACAAAAAGTATGTACACTTATACAATCACATAGTTGTATTGTTATTTTCACCATAAAAGATTTTAGTTTTTAAATTGAATTGTATAACATATATGTTATATTAAAGAAAAAAATTCTGAAGTGATTTTTCTTGGTTTATTTTTTTGCATCTCAAAAACCTGGCATCTTAATAGGGATATGTAGACTTCCTATATCCACTATAGGTATTAAAGAGAGGAAGAATGATATATATTTGGATGTGTTGGTGAGTGTCATATTGTCTGTAAAGCTTGAATAAATAAAACCCTCTGAGTTTGCCAGATACATAACATTCAGAGTTTTAAAAAGTTGCACTTTTATTGTATTAAGTAAATTAAATATAATTCTGGCTTTTATTTTCTTCTGAGTTCAGAACAAAAAGCAGCGCATGATGGTGCGCGCAGCAGTGCTAAAGATGAAGGATCCCAAACAAATCATTCGAGACATGGAGAAACTTGATGAAATGGGTAGGTTTGAATCTCTTTTTCAACTCGTATAGAAAAAGTAATGTGATAGAAAAACTAGCTTAACAAGCATTATCCATTCCTGTATGAGAAAGAAAGTAAAATCAGAATTAACAAGTAATAGATGATTGTATAGTCATGCTGGCCAAACAACCATATACATGTCTTTGGAAAACGCTGGCTACCTCAGTTAAGAAATGAAAATGAACACTGCCCCCTGTAGTTGGACACAACTTTTTTTTTATTTTTGGATGATTATCAGAAAAAATAGTTGCTATTGTATTTATCTATTTTCTGTTCCCTTTATGGTTGTGCTTGGCTGCTATGAACCTCCGGTAGTGGGAAGTTGAAGGTCTACATAATTTTTTTTTCATGTATCTGTCCCAATTCTGTTTATAGAATTTAATCCAGTACAACAGCCTCAATTAAATGAAAAGGTGCTTAAGGACAAGCGTAAGAAACTGCGTGAAACTTTTGAGCGTATCCTGCGACTATATGAGAAGGAGAATCCAGACATTTATAAGGAGTTGCGCAAGTTAGAGGTGGAATATGAACAGAAAAGATCACAGCTCAGTCAGTACTTTGATGCTGTAAAGGTATCTATTCACATTAGCTTTAAAATATTGGTTTGATTTTAAAGAAGTTGATTTTTCAGATTGCTTTTCAAACTGAATTATTTGGAATTGCTCATGTGCATGATTTGTGTCTTGCTGATAACAGTATGGATCATGAGGTTATTGCTGTAATTTAATCTTATAAACATGGCTTCATTCAGGAGCCCAGATGTTCACTAGAACTTTTCATAGAGTTTAATAATTAGTGGTGACAGCAAAAACACTATTTTTTAAATCTTCTGATTTCATTTGCAGGGCTGAAATAACTGAGCTCAATTAATATAGTTTGCCGTATATTCCTGCTGTAAACTTGTGTTACAGAATTTCACACTGTTACTTCTTTCTACGAATTGGTCCTCGGGGAAACTAAACATTGTGCAATTGGTGGTCATTATTCATTAAATACCATGTTTTAAATCATTGGTTCCAGGCCTGTGGTTCAGAGATCAGTAATGGGGTACAAAGCACTAGTGGTCTCTGATAAGTTTCAAATACTGTCTGGTGTGGATCCCAATATATAAAAAAATATTGGCCAAAAATGCCAGAGAGAGTCAAAGATTTTGTCATGAGATAAGATAGTTTGTAAGAATTTAGCATTTTTAAAAACTAGAATTGTTTTAGGGTTCCTTGCAGAAAGGGATCATGTGAGACATGATGTTTGCAGACATTGTTGTCGGCCCTGATTTATAGTCATCCTGAAAACATTTATGATGATGCATTTGCATGAGAAAGGCATGTGGTATCTCAGTGGCTAAGGTGATGAGCTTGACGATCAAAAAGCTCGGTAGTTCAGTGGTTTGAATCCCTAGTGCTGTGTAACGGAGTGAGCTCCCGTTACTTGCTTCTGCCAACCTATCAGTTCGAAAGCATGTAAAAATGCAAGTAGAAAAAAATAGGAACCACCTTTGGTGGGAAGGTAACAGCATTCCATGCACTTTTGGCATTTTGTCATTCCAGCCACATGACCATGGAGATGTCTTTGGTCAGCGCTGGCTCTTCGGCTTTGAAATGGAGATGAGCACCNGGCAGGGGGAGGGAGCTGGAACCAGTTCTAAACATCACAGTAGATTTGTGGAACCTCTTCTATAGAAGAGGTTAGAACTGGCAGGAACCCACCCCTGCCTACCCATCAATTCTTTATCTCTGAATATAATTAAATGAATTGGGAAGCCTGGAATGAGAAAACTCGGGAGCTGGATTCATGATGCTACACTAATGGGGCAATGTGTAAAGGCTTAGCAATAGCTGTCTAACCTCTTCTCTTAGCCTGCTCAGCAGAATGAGGTGGCACAAATATAGAAAGATTGGCTTATCTCATTTTAAAGGAAATGGTATCATTCACATTAAAATTTAAGGAAGGGATACAGTGCAAGGCTATGGACTCAAGCCTCCAGCATAGTTTCACACTATTGCTGCTTCTTCCTCTGATCTTCTCCCTTTTCTTCAGGTACTATGAAATGTTCAAGTCCCCGATGGAGCTGAAGCAAGAACAGTGTGAGCATTATACACCCTGTAACCACTACTCTGAAATAGTGGGATTTCCTACAGCATATCGCCGTTACTTTGGAAGCATATGAATATAGTCATTTCTCATCCAACTGGGACATCTGCGAGAGCAAAGAGTGACTGGTGCAGGGCAGTTTAAGAAAAATAAAAATAGCATCTTGTTTCTATTTTACTAACAAGAGTTTAACAGCAACATATTCACTTTAAAGATAAGAAATAAGTACTGTCTTTTTTCTGAGGACCAAGTAAGTACTAGCAAGGTCTGCTAGTAATTCTATAAATTCCAGTATTTCTTGAAACATAAATGACATTTCTTGGAAAGGGAAGGCAAAAAATTATTAAGGTAATTGGAAGTTGAGGGAAGTTGAGGGGCAATCTAATGGTAAAATTTGTAGTTCTAGAAAGAGATGTTATGGTGAATGTTCTCATATTTCAAACTGCGATGTGATAGGAGGGTATTGTTAACAAGGTTTTTCTTAAATCAATTCATACGTTTTTATATCAATTCATCAATGCACACTTACGTTTTTGTCCTGATCACAGAAACATTTGAAATTTAAAAAAAATAATACAAAATTCTCATGTACAATGCACGCATTTCAAAGAAACATATTCCTCAACTATGCTGATAATATAGTTCTTAATTGTAATGGGATTAAACATGTTCCTGACAAGGAATTAGAATATAGTGATGCAAATGTAAAGGCTTGTTTTGGTTTTTTGTTCTCTTTATTATTGCTATTTTGCTGACAACATTTGATTATTTCATTTAATGATTAAGGAAGAATGGGGAAATATGGATTTAGTTTAAAATATTCTTCTTACATTTCTAATGTGGCTATTGCACTCATCTGAGTATAAGGGGCAAACATCTGGAATATTCTTAATCATGTGGTATCTCTGTGCCCAGTACACAGATGTTTATTAAGAATTATGTCCAGCAGAATATCCACTAGGAAACACTGCATAGGATTGCAACAAAAATCTGCTTTAAAATACACTAATATAAGGACAATAGATTAATGAGGAAGAACCACTTAATTCGATTATATTTCTAATGTCTTGTCTTCATTCAATTTGTCAATTTCTCTTAATGAAACACAGTTGGAAGTTGGTAAAAAACAACCTTGAGCAATGACCAATAAGTAGAGGTTAAAAAAATTATCATGGAAATACAACTGGCATAAAGGAGGAAGAAGGATTTCAATGGCATGATGGTTATATATTGATAAGAAAAGGAGGGGAGGAAGATTTTTCTATGATGAGACTTTTCTTAATTTAATGTGCTGTAGGTGGTGGTTTCTATGAAAACACATTTAGCAACTTCAATTACTGGTAGGGAATGTAGTAGCCAATACATTCTCTCTTCATTGGGTTGCATTAGAAATGTATATACTAGTTACCTCCTAACCACAACTCCCCCCACCTCCCTGAACTCCAGGTTCTGGTGTATTTGCTAAGACTAAAAGACTGAAGACTACATTTCTTAAACAATTGTTGAACAAAAAGGATTCAGCCTATCTTCTTGAACCATTCGCTTGAATTTGCTTAGAAAACAAAATCAGAGTCATTTTGTCTCTTGATGCTGAGATATTTACCTCTATTCTGTCTAGAACTGGAGAGGGAATTATTTGTCAGACAATTTAAATATATGAGAACGATGGGAATTCCCAGGCAAAAACAAATACTATGGAATCAAGATGCTGAGTATGTTTACTTTGGGAAAAGAAACATGGAGTGAGAAGGAAGAAGAGGCTAAGTGGACTTCCTTTGTCAAATTATTATTTATAATTGAGTAAAGTTGAATTAACTGGAATTGAAAATGAGGATAATTATTAAAAGGAGAAAAATGGAAATGTGATGAAGAAAGGAAGACCACAAATATACAGTAAAAAAAGCTAAGCAGTAGAAGAGAGGTAGCAGCACAGGAAAGAATTAGTAAAGGAGGATAAGGCCATTTCAAGGGAATTGATAAAAAAAAACTCTTCAAAGTTATTAAGGGGAATTTTGAATAAGAGCCAAACCATATACCTATGCCTTTGTTGGCACTGATATTATATAAAAAAATATTAACATGTTTGAACTGTAGATGAGAATACAGATACTGCAATCAGAAGTTTTCTCCTTTTTTAATTTAATTTTATTTCTTGCTGGGTAAACAGAAGTAAATTTATAAAAGCTGAGCAATTGCCTTCTGGTTTATTGCCTTTTGTCAATGATCAATGTGACATACTCGTCAGCCACCTTAATAAATCTTTGGAAATGTTCACAAGATGGTCTCAAAGTCTGAACAGCTTCTGCCATGATTTCTGCAGCCATCTGAACGGAATCCTTAGATGTGTGTCTACAATGAATTATCCGCATGAATCTAGTAAGTGAAAAAGAATTGGGAACAGAAAAACTGTGGGCTTTCTGTTTGACTGGTGGTGAACTTTTAGATGAACAGGGACTGAAGTCTGGAAGTGCTTTAGCAATTTCTTCTTTGGTCATGAGAAGCTCACTCACTTGAAGAGACAGCACGGGCGTATTCACTAAATTCCGAAGAGCAATCTCAAGCGTTTCAAGGAAATTACCATGCTTAATTATAACAGCACAAATGGGACCACAGATATTTTCAAAAGTGCCATTATATTGATGATATATATCTTTTATAAGCCTGATTTTTTCATCAGTGGAAAGGGCTGGCAGAATAAGTTGAGAATACAAATTAACTTCAACTTTTTCCTGGAAATCTTTGTCTTTCAAGTCTACTAGCATCTGCATCTCTTTCAGAGCACTCTGTAGAAGCTGAAGATTTTCCTTGATGCTAATGTTTTCCCGTACTGTAATTATGGCTAATTTACTTCCAAGCAATTCGTTGAGCATTCGGAATGCTGTGTTGGTAGAAGAAACAAAAATGTAGACACAGTCATACATATCGCGGCTGGCCTTGACTAGCTTCTCCTCCTTTCCTCCTCCACAAAAAATGGACTGCATTTCTATAAAAGGATATGTCACACTGAAATTCAAATCAAAACAATATTTAATGGAAGAAAATCATTTGTTTAAATTTATGAAACCAGGGGCAATATATATTTTATGATGACTAGGCTGTACTCAAAATATTTATGATGTATTTCCATACTTGGAGCTAATACAATATATTGTCAAACCCTGAAGCTTGGACACATGAGATATATTTTATTTGAATGGTTAAAAAATATGAATAGCCCTCTTTGATCAGGCCAAGTCCATCTTTTTTCTCCAACGTGGCCAACTGGATGCTTTGAGGGCCTTGCATATAGGAAATATTCCCTCTCTCTTGTCTTTGTTCCTTTGAATCTGGTATTTGCAGGGATGAGATTGCCAACAAGACTAATTATTCTTGACAGACATGTCAAAGACCCTTGATGACACAGTGGTTACAATTCAGTATTGCAGGCAAACTCTGCCCACAGCCTGGAGTTTGATCCTGACAGCGCTCAAAGTTGACCTAGATTTCCATTCTTCTGAGGTTGGTAAAATGAGGACCCAGATTGTTGGGGGCAACATGTTGACATTGAAACTTCTCAGAGAGTGCTGGGGATGGTATGTAAATCTAAGTGCTATTGCTATTTTCTTCTGTGAATTTATCCTATTCCCTTTTAAGCAATTCAAATTAATTGCAATCATCAAATTTTGTGGTAATGAATTTCACAGGTTAATATATTCTTTGTAAAGAAATGCTTACTGTTACCTATTCTAAAACTTCTTCCAGACAGTTTCATTGGGCGGAGTGTTCTGAGACAGGGAGAAAAGCTTCCTCCCTGCCACACGTAATATTATACCCCTCAGTCATGCCTTCCATCCTCAGGTGACTTTTCTTCAAGCAAAACAGTCCCAAATGTTCTAGCTTTCTTTATGAGAGAGTGTTCAACGTCCTTTCAACCCAGCCCCCAACCCCAGGATAATATTGGTGGCCTTCTTCTGTACTTTTTTCAAATGGGGCTATCAGAATTGTATATCTGGTGTACTGTAATGTACTATATAGTAAATTTGCAGATATACTGCAGAGTTGCATAAAGGGGATTACAATTTCTGATGTTCTATTTTCAATCCCTAGCATGGAATTTGCCTTTTTTCAGCTGCCATTGATTGATAAGCTGTTTTCAGGGAGGTAGAAATCATGACTGCAAGATCTTTTTCTCGGTTACAGACAGCTCAGACTCAATAAATGTATATGGAAAAAATGGTGGTGGTGGTGTGCTTCTTAATTCAATTGCATAATATTTGTCATTAGCTGCAATTTACCCAGTTTAAAAGATCCTTCTGGTGACCTTCACAATTACCTTTGATTTTTGTCACCCAGAGAAATTTAGTGTTATCCCAATATTTGAGTAGCTCACTACTTAATCTTTAGTAATGATAATATATAAATAAGTTAAAAACAGATTGTCTAGGGCCGTGATGGCAAATCTATGGCATGTGTGCCACAGGTGGCATGCAGAGCCCTCTCTGTGGGCATGCGAGCCGTTGCCCCAGCAAAGCTTCACCATGCATGCGCATGCGCCTCCCACCAGCCAGCTGGTTTTCGGGTCTCTGCTGCACATGCATTGGGGGGGGGCATGGGATACTGTAAATTGCTGTATATTTGGGCTGGTTGCTAAATGTCCAAAATGTGATATGATTACTGGGGATGGGGGTGGCCATTGGAATTTTGAATTCTGGTCATAAGTAACCTTGGGGGGGGGTGTTCCTTTGTAATTTTGAATGGTTGCTAAGCAACCAATTGTAAACAGGGTACTATCTGTATTTATTTATGAAATGTATCTAATCACCAGAAACTGACCAGATTTTAGGAAGTTTACAGAATTTATAGACTGAAAAGAAGGTACAAAATAAAAATAAAATGATTAAAATAATAAAAAGAACACAACTAAAAATTATAAATTTGTAAAAAGGGCTGTCACTATTACAATTAAACACAAAGGCCCTTAAAAAGAGTCACATTTGCACCTACTTCTAGAAGACCATGATGATGGTGGACATCTCTATTTTGGGGGCAAGCTAGTGCAGCGGAATGAACTGCTACAGGTAATGCCTTCCATTGGGGCCTCTCTCACTATACTCTCTGGTAAATGGGGGCCATTTGTAGGCTATCCCTAGTTGTTCAGGTAGGATAGCAAAAAAACTATTGGGGAAAAGGCACCTGTAAGTTACCCAGGTCCTCAGGTATATAGGGATTTATACCTTGAATTGCATTTGGAATCTACTTGGAAACATATAACAGAGAAGTAATGTAGCTCTATTATGTCTGACTAATGAACACATGTGTTATTACATTCTGGACCAGATAACCACTCCAGGAGTGATATTTAAGAGTAACCCCAGGTGTTATGGATTATAATTATCTGATCAAGAGATGAGAAGGTATGAGTGACAATCTTCAGATCATCCTGTGGAACAGTCAAAGCTATGCAAATGCCCTTCAAAACATTTCATCCACCTGCTCTTTGAAGAGGAGCAGTTAGTCTAGGAAGTCCTGCTCATTGCAAGCCTGCACTTTTGGGGGGAGCATCACCCCATCAAGAATCAAAGATGGTATAACCTTGGCATTATTCAACTTCTGAATAAACAGCCTCTGTGCCTCTTTGGATTGAGACAGATTGTATTTCTTCATTTCAGGTCATAACTTCTACCACATCTCCCAATGGGTCTTGGGTGAAGGTGTATACAGTAACTAGAT